CGATAACTTCGTATAATGTATCCTATACGAAGTTATTACGCTACGGCCGCCTCCGCCGCTCGGCACGGCGCCCCTCCGCTTGCGCCCCCTGGCGGGCGAGACGTCGGCGACCGCGAACTGCCAGGGCCGGGACATCTTCAGCCGCAGCAGCAGGGTCACTCGCCGCCGTTCCGCGGCGGACCTCCACCGATCCCCAACATCGACGAGCGGGGAACCCGTGGCCCTGCCCACACCCCGCTCGCGCCGATGAACACTGGCCAAGGCGGTCCGCCAGGAGGACCGCCAGGACTTGGACCGGGAGGCGAACCCCTCCACCGAGGCGGCGCCTATCCGCCCCATCCGCAGTCGCGCGGACCGTCGCCTGCGCCGCGTGCCGACATGTACGGCCGCAGAATGGGCTCTCCGCCCCGTCAGACGCCGCCGTTTGGGCCGCCCGGCGCCATGCGGCCCGACCTGCACGACGGCCACGACTTCCGAGGCGGTCCGCACGGAGGACCACCGCCACCCTCGGGGCCTCCTGTCGACCACTATGGCCGCCCGCTTGCGGGCCCCGCTGCCGAGCGCGAGCGCGAGAGGGAGAGGGAGATGGAGTGGGAGCGGGAGCGAGACCGCGAACGAGAACGGGCGGCCAGGCAGTATCCCGGCAGCGGTCGCGCCACGCCCAAAATCGAGCCTGGCTACCCTCGCTCGCAGCACGGCAGCAACGCACCCTCACCGGCCTTTAGCCGGCCCGGCGCCTACCCGCGCGAAGACCCGCGCGAGTACTACGGCAACGGCGGGGGCGGCTACGATCGGGCGAGGATGGACGAGGGCCGACCGCCGTACGAGCACGAGCGAGGCTACGGACGTCACCACGACCACCCCATGGCCGAGCGCTACGAAGGCGGAGGCGGGCCCCGCCAGCACCCTCCTGCCGACCTGCGCGGCCCGACGCCGGAGCGAGACCGCATGCGTGGCGAGTACCCGCCGTCCGCGCACCCTGCATTCGGCCCTGCTGGAGGTGCCGGACCTCCTCCGCCGCCGCCGCCCGCGTCTGATGGCGTCGGCGATGCCATGGCCGCCGGAGGCCGACCTCCGGCAAAAGGCGGCCGTCGAGGCCACAAGTTCAAGGACGATGGCGATGTGGCAAGCGGGCCGGCATCGCCAGCACCATCTGCCGCCGCTGCCCGCAAGAAGAAGGAGGCTGGAGGTGCCGGCGGGCCATCGTCTCGTGCGAGCTCGCCGTGGGGTGGCAGACCGAACGCCCCCGCCTCGGCGTCGGTCGGCGCAGGTTCTCGCAACGGCCCGCCACCATCCCGACCCGAGTCGCGCGGCCCCGGCGCCGGCCG